TTATTTTCATAACAAAAGATTTAAAAAAAGTACACACAGATTACTAGCCCAAGTCTGCTTATCTATCACAGCGAGCTATTTGACTAAATGTTTTGTAATCACTAATAGTTTGTTTTCTTCTGCTATTGCTATTTTAAAAAAAATATATATATTTTATTGTTGATTTTCTTGTTATTGTTGGTATACGCATCATCATTTCATATAATAGGCTATACTTTAAAGCGTACCACTAGCATAAAATTAATTCATGTTACAGCAGTTTCAGCAGATGAACGTACTGTAAAGAATACATTATTGTCATTGGTGCGCCACCATATTGCTACTGGCAAATCATAAATGCAACTAAATATCGATTTTGATTTCATGGAATAGCGAGATTTTGATTGTATGTTTCTCTAAAATTACACATGACGTTTGAATGAGATTTATTGATACTTCTGAAATATGCACAACAATCATTCAGAGAATAATAATGCAGGCAGACGTCACGGTTATAACACAAGACGGGCTGTATTGCGCATGCGCCGCGCGGGAAACTCCCGGAACAAAGAAAAGAGAAACGCTCGTGAGTTTTTCTTTCAGCTTCCTCTCTTCAAGATGAAAACAGGAATCACGGAGACACTTTGGAAATCAAACCACGTCAACACAAACCCTGGAGCGGGTTTTCAGGCTCTGATCTCTAACAACAGAATGAACGGATGATACACGGACCCTCGAGACTCTTCCTCGTGTCTTTAGTCTCGTGATGAAGTCATGAACACTGACCTGAACATCGGTGCTATCAGAGCACGAGGCTGCTGTTTGGCTCCTGTGGTCCGGGTTCTGGTTCTCCATCGTCCTGCAGGTCTCCGCTGTGACTGGTGGACCGTGTTGTCCTGGACTGAGTCTGGATTCTGGTCTCGGAGCTCTTCAGGCTGAGATACAGGAGCGCTGCGGGATCCCGCGGAGTGTTCTCGCGATGTCACGGCGTCTCGCCCCGCCCCTTAGTTACCGTTGCTGAGGCCGTTTAGAAACATGGCTCCTTGATTTCAGGCAGAAGATGAAGTTTAGTTAGTTGGTTTCCTGAAACCAGCTGATCATATTTGATGTGTATGAGGGAGTGTGCTTCACACAGAGCAGAGTTTTAATGAAGCGCTTGTTATTATCACATCAGAGGCTCATGAAAATATCCTGCTGAAGCTTTTTGTTCATCGTGTTTTTACACAAAGAAAGAAATAACTTCATGTGTCACATTTAATGTTGAATTTACAAGAAGGCAGAATCATTAAGAGTTTGTCGTAGACAGCGTTTCACAAAGTTTCTAAAGTGTCCTCTAACTCAACAAGTCACTAAACTGCAGGATTGTTGAAGGGAGTCTGGGACTTTCTCCCCGGGCCACAAAGGAGTAGCTATATTACGGTTACTGTTTAAATGGTGAAATCAGATGAAACAGACAGTTTGTTCACAAACATCTGCTGCTTCTCTCGGCAGCTAAGAGAGTCCAAACACATCATTAACATCACAGTGAAGCTGTTTGTTCACTTAACGGGCCATCGTGTGTTTGTCCAGGTCGGCTCTCTATTCAAATGGGGATCAGCTGCTTGAAAAGGCGACTGATGCGCATTTTCACCTCTCTTCAGGTGATCAGCTTGAATAGGAGGCAGAGAGCTGAACATGTGGACATCAGCTGGCTATTCAGCTGCATTAATGAGCAGCCCAAACAGATGCAAACACAAAGCCACTGAAGGAAAACTGTGTGTTGTGAATGTAGCCTGCAAACCTCTTTAGTCTGCGTTAATACAGAAGAAATTAGAAATATAACAACATGTTGATGTGATGCTCACTTAATAAATAAATGCTGATAGTTGGGAAAAATTGTTGGGGAGGATCTCTTCTCTGTGGCAGCGGCGGGTATTAAAGCACAGAGTAAAAACAGATTAACACATAGGCCTATAAATGTTTTCTCCACATCTCTGGGGGTGGTAGAGTCAGCCATGTGATCATATTCAGACCAAAGACTTTTTTGCAAGATATCAAGAATATTTCCATTTGATTGAACACTGCAACCATAAATATATGGAGGATCTGGTTTCAATATCTCACTCAGCGTTAACATCATCTAGCCGAACTTCGCTGAAGAGCTGAAGAGCTCGAACACAATAAATATGAGAGTAATATAAAATGTAAAATCAGCTGCCCTTATCCAGGTGACTAACTTGCAGCTCGAGCTCAAAGCAACAAGCAGTACTCTCTCTCACAGAAATTGTGAATGAGCGCACGAGAGCGGACGCTTCATGTGGGCACAACAGATATTCTTCTTCTGCCGGGCAGCGTGTGTGATGCTGCTCACATTTCACACGTTCACCCGGCAGTGTCTAGCTGCGAGCTTGTGCATAATCACGGCATCACTGAGACGGTCCTTCTGTGCGTCCAGGCTGCGTCCTATGAGCTGAAAGCAGACATTACGCTTCGTGTGGACATGATACGCTCACACTCAACCCTGTGTATGGTGTTGTCCTTTTGCCGCTCCCTGGAGAGACCACCGCGGCTGCAAGAAGGACCGCCAGCGCCGAGTTTGGCCCGAGGCCGCTGCAGGCACAGCTCCCTACTCCGCTCTCCCGGATTTCTGCCCCGCCGTCACAGGTGGTGCCAGCTTCGCGCTCAGGTGGCCTGCTCATGGTTTAACCCCCCTGTGCAGCCACGGTGTTCTGGGAAGCGGCAGTGACATTTTGTGTGTTCACTGTTAATGTTCTGCCGGCACTTTCTCTGTTGAGACATAGTGTTTTGAAATGAAACATAAACAGAGCCCTAAAGAGCATGTTCTGAGCAAGCAACTGTGTCTCTCCCCATCCCCTTACTCTCTCTGGGGGAGCGGTACAGCGGTGGGCCTGCGAGAGCCACGTTGCCTCGTGCCCCCCCTAGCAGCGAGGCACGGTCGGCCCCGGTGTGGCGGGTGTCAGCTCACCCCCTCTAGTGGCCATGCCTCACCGTCAGATTGACTCATGCATGCTTGCCACGGAGTGAGACGCTCCTCCTTGCATGACGGAGCATGTTGGTTCCTCCCCGTCAGGAGCAGAATTCCCCAGTTCGGTGGATAACGGAACCCATGGCTGGCGTCCCGGCCCTTTTGGGGTGGGCCCACCATGGGTCACGGAGGTGTGTTCCCCACCTGCAATGACAGCAGGGGCACTGGACTTTAGAGCTGCTACGGCAGGCGGGCATCACAGTCATGTTTTACCTGGATGACCTGCTGCTGCCAGCGAGGTCCCAAGTTGGTGGTGCAAACGGCCAAGCTCGTCGCACACCTGTCTGACTGGGTTTGACGGTGAACTGGAAGAAGAGCGCTCCTCTCCCAGAGGCTCACTCTGCTGGAGCTGCTTCGCTCTATCAATCATGAGGCTTCTGGGCCTCATGTCAGCGGCTCACTATTTTCCATAATTGTGTGATCAGTCATGAACAGCAAAAGTGAAAGGAGTGTGTTACCTGGCTGAGAAGGTGGAGGTGTGCAGCCTGTCGCCTGCAGCTCTTTATCTAACAGCTCACTGTGTCTGCTGCTGCTGACTGTTGCATTACTCACTGCAATATTTCAAACTTGTCCGCTGTCAGAAAACTGTTGAAAATGACAATTGTCTTCATTAGATGCATTTTTGCTGAATATGAGCAGTCAGCACTCATCTCACTTACAAACAGATTGCATTTCCTGTGACTACTTCAAAATAAAAGTCACCTAGTGTTTTGCCAGTTAAATGCTTTTAATGTGCAGCTGCAGCAGCAGGAAATGTTCAGTTTCATCAGCAGTTACTTAATACAGCATTTCTTCATCATGATCAAGGGGGTAAGCCACAGTTGAAATAGTGAAGCCGACCAAAGCCTGCATGGTCGGTCTCACATGTAGGCCCAAAAATCATTTTAATTCTACACCTTATTTTATTGATAACTCACAAACTAATCTGCTCACCTTGATTTCCACACTTGACGTACTGACACATAACAAATAGTTACCGGGTGGTCTCTGTTGCCACATAGGGGACACAGGAAGTGATGTTTAAGTCCTCTTTGCAGTGTCTGAAGCGCCTGACAATTCAGAACTGGGTCAGGACAGCAACGGCATCTGTGGTGGGCCGTGGTATGCCCCATGCATTTCAGGTGCAAAGGGCCCGCTCATAGCTGCTTGCAGCTCAAATTAAAATACAGTTGTTTAATTTTTTTGGTGCATTTGGATGCCTATTTATTTATTGAGCTTTTTTTATTTCTAACACTAATTTTCGATTGTGGCAGACACGCTCCTTCATACACTGATTGTATTAATGTCTCTCTTCAAATTAAAGAAATTTGCAAAAAACTAAAATTGAATTGTTACAAAACAACAAACTATTAAAACAAACACAAACCAATAACCTTGTCAAAATCCCTCGACCAAAGAATGCCACGTGTAGTGTTGACAAATTAAATTATATTGTTTCTCTCGCCTCGTTGCGGGCGCGTTCTATTGACTTAGAGCATCCTGTTTGGGCGATTACTCTCGGTCCCTCCATGGTTTTATTATTATTACCCTACTTGGCGGGCACCATCAAGGACCTCTATTAAGTTTTGTTTTGCATCATAAAGCTTTTCTTTAAAGTAATGGTAGAATATTTGGAATATTTGGGTTGTAAAGAGTTAACAGTGTACATATAACTGTTATTCTTACTTTTTTATTTCTATTCTATTTTTGTTTAATGCGTATTTTCTTATCAGTTCTGTTGTATCTGGAGCTGCAGTAATAAGTGATATTTCCCAGTGTGGGATCAAACATTTCTATCTTATCTTGAATATTCTAGCAGTCTTTCCATCCCTGCTGTTGGGTTGTCAGATGTTTTCTTACTTTTTTGTCGTTGTGCCAGTGATGTTTGTCTGTTGGATATTTGCAACACATTTTACCAGTGTTCATGGTATTGTGTTTGTGTGTATCCTGTATGTATTCTGGCCCTATCTCAATAGCTAATTGTCTGACAAACTGACATTCCACTGTTGAGAGATTGATACTGTTGATTACCATATGGGGGGAGGTTCATTGTGAACAAAAACTACACAGCAGGTTTCATCTTCATCAGCTGCTGCAGCTCTGCAGTCATGACTGCATTAACATCAGCACGTTTTGTGGCTTTGTTCGCATGTTCATGGATCTTGGTTTTGTGTCAAGGTAAGGTGCCTGTGTGTGTGTGTGTGTGTGTGTGTGTGTGTGTGTGCTTGAGCAGGGATGTGCACAGACACAAAAAAATTTTCAAACCAAACGTTGAATATATTAACAAAACTCTGACTTCCTTACAAATTTGTTTTAATTCCTTCAAACTCACACAAATTGTTTCATTCTCAACATTTTTCTACAAAATAATCTATTCACACAGAGACCGTGGTCTTTAGTATTTGCAAGGTTTATGACAAAACCAGGGACCAGAAAAGGAAAATAATCGTACACTTCAACATCAAATGTTCACACTAAACTGTGACCTTGTGCTGCAGGCATAAAATAAATACTTTTTACCTTTTGTATCACAAGCAGGACTTAGTTTCACATTTTAGGGAAGGCTGTCATGTAAATATCTATCAGCAAACAACAAACTAATAGAATGGAAAGTTAACAGATGAGGAGCCCACGATCAAAATGATGAAGTCACTATTTTAAGCAATACACTTTTTTCTCATTTCATACACATTGAGATGTGTGTTGTTTTAAGCCTACTACCCTCCGTCTGTGGATTTCTTGTAAACCAAAACAAGCTAATCTGCATATTTAAAGAGAACATTTCAGAGGAAAAGACTCTCGATGTAAGTCATTAACTGGGGAAGTTCTGTGGTGATTTGCTTTTATTTAGTTTTTCCTATTCCTGCAGTGTCTATCAAATATATGCAAATTAGCTGATTTAATTAGTTAACATCAAAATTTGCATTTCAATGTGGCGACTGTGATGACTTTATTAGACACAAATGTTACTGCCTGTAGTGTCTCCATTAAGTACAGTACATTACCCTGTATGGGCATGATAGGTTGCCTAAACTTAAGATAAGTTAACTATATTTGGCTCTTTTGGCTAATCAGCTGTGAACTGGAGGCACTGGTAGTTTAGTCTTTTATTAGCCAAGAAAAACACCGCTGGGAGGGGCTGCTGCCTGTCTGTGGGTCTGATGTGCCTGATGTGCCAACATGTGCTGCAGGGAGAGGGAGAGAGAGAGAGAGGGAGAGGGAGAGGGAGAGAGAGAGAGAGAGGGAAGGAGAGAGAGAGAGAGAGAGAGAACTGAAGTCAGAACTGAAGAAGTCCTTCGGATGAGGGACGAAACGTCTTCCAGTATCTTCAACCAAGTCCAGCAGGTGTGATTTATTAATAAGCTTTGATTATATTGATTTATGGATTTATCTCTTGGTGAATGGCAGAGACCAACATGTGTCCTCTCCCCTCTCGTGGTGTCTGTCCATGCAGATCCAGCAGCTTCATTTGTCTCTCTGAGAAGTAAAGCAGTTTCATACTGTAGGGACTCTTTCCTCAGTAGAAGTAGTTCAGACACAGTCTGAGTAGAGGACGGACAGACTGGGGACACATTTGGAAAACAAGGACAAAGATTCAAAGCTTCTAGGAAATAATAAACTTCACATGTTTAATATTTCAGCTGTTTGTTCAGGGTCAGAAATGCTGATGTCTGTATTCAGATGGGAAATAATATCAATAATCAATAATCTCCAAACAAGCAGAAAGCAGATGAAAGTAAAATGTCTCCTGTCTGATGGTGCGGAGGACGACTTGACTGACAGCTGTAGAAATGAGCAACATGAAGTCAGCGTGCAGCTGCAGCAGAGGAGTTAGTCTCTCCTTTCTGCAGCTGGGACTCAAGTTGTCTGAGAACAGGGTTTGAAATGCTGCTGAGTTCACATGTGCTGTTTTATAGAGACCTGATCTCTGCTGCTTCCATCAAAAGATGTTTGAACAACAGGAAACATTACAAGTCCTGACTGGAGGCTTTTCTCTTTCTGCTCAGAGACACAGGAGGTGATGGTGAAGCCTGGAGAGGACGCCACTCTTCAGTGTCAGAGTCACAGAGGGGCTGACATCACAGTGATAAAGTGGATCAGACCTGACCTGAAGTCAGATGATGGTTTTGTCTTCTTCTTCAAAGACGGCCGCTCACATGAAAACTACCAGCATCCATCTTTTCATGGTAGAGTGGAGCTGAGAGATCCAGAGATGAAAAATGGAGATGTGATTTTGAAGAACGTCACCACCAACAATACTGGAACATATGAGTGTCGGGTTAGAGAGGAAAACAGTCCGGGCAAAGAGGAACTCATCAGCACCATCAGGCTGACAGTGACAGAGCCAGGTGAGCGTGTAGAGCTCAGAGTGTCTCTTTGTCTCTCAGGTGAGTGTGTAGAGCTCAGAGTGTCTCTTTGTCTCTCAGGTGAGTGTGTAGAGCTCAGAGTGTCTCTTTGTCTCTCAGGTGAGCGTGTAGAGCTCAGAGTGTCTCTTTGTCTCTCAGGTGAAGCTGCTTCCTGGTAGTTGAGCTGAGAAACATCACAGATCAGATGTTTGTGTTTTAGAAAGATGTTGCTGATGAGACTTTAGAGGAAACAGCTGCTACGAGTCATGTGATCAAAGTGCAGTAGATAATGTCTGACATTCTGATACCTCACACCTGTTTCTGCTCTGCAGGTCACACAGCTGGACACAAGGAGGGAGGAGACAAGGAGGGAGGAGACAAGAAGGGAGGAGACAAGGAGGGAAATGTTGGACTGAAAGTTGGTCTGCTAGTTGGTGTGATTTTTCTTCTTCTTCTTCTTCTTCTTGGGTTTGAATGCTGCAAACATCAACTGCCTATGTTCTTCAATTCTTTATTGGGTGTGAATTCTGGAAACAGTCGCAGCCTATGTTCTTCAACACCTTTATTCCTCTTTTTATTATTCCTCCGTCACACTTTTTGGCGTGTCTCTCCTCCCACAGTTTTTGATGTTTAAACTCAGATCACATCAATCGTTCAGTTCAATGAGGACATTATCATTTTATAGTGTTTTTTGTGAGTTAGAGTGACATTTTTGGTAGAGCCTTGGAAATTTTCTTAAAATGTTTTTTAACTTGCTGCCCTGACCACAAGTTTCACTCTTCATGCATCATTGAACACCAGAAATGTAGAAAATCTTGTGCTGGTTCCTCATATATTAGTCCATCTGAATTATACATTTGGATAAGTGTGCTTCCAATTGACAGGAGTGACACTTAACTCATCCATTAGCAGCAATTATAATTGAAATTTCTGGACAAAAGCAGAACTTACCAATCTGAGGACTCTATGAAATGCTCACATTTTTTAACTTTATCCACACTGATTATTTATAATTTGTTCACAAATGCCTTCTGCTGCTGCTGGTGAGGTCATTTCACAGATGCAACCTTTTGTTACAAGTGTTAACTTGTTACTGAATTGCATAACTGAAATGTCAGCAGGTAAGGTGGGAGACTGCTGGAGGCCTCCTCCAATACAGTCTAGCATGCCAAAAACCTATAGCAATTGCCAGCTACTGGGGTTCATGTCCCCTGTGAAAGAATGTCACAGGGGCTCTGTCTGTTTCTGGCAGCCGTCCACTGTTGACACTTTCCACATCTTTGACACAATTTTACCACAATATAAGTTAAGTAACAGTCCTGCTTTCAAAATGTTACTATAGTCAAAGTACAAATAATTAGGTCATTTTAACTACTTAACATAATGTTAGCAGTTAAATCTAAATCAATGTGTTATATATGTAATCTGCGGAGTATTTTTTTCACATATTTGCAATAAGGAAACGAGTAGCTGTTGAATGCTGCTCTGATCCGGAATCAAAAGCAGCTCAACCAACAACACCAACAACATACCAGAGCACTGGCAACGGTCCAGGTAACAGGTTGATTACACGCAAGAGTTATGTCCTCAGGGAGTACATCTCCAGAGCATTTTTGACAGTCCAGTCTGACTATTTACAGTGTAACAGAGACTCTAGACCTCATAGCAGTTATTTTGTTGACTTTTCGACAGCATCCTGCTTCTAAAACAGATGTAACTGAGATCATTAAATCCTGATTAAAAACAGGATAATTGACCTTCCTTAACTGTATCTCCCCAGAGGAAAAATCTTTTGCTCAGAAAAGTATTTTCTTTAACTCTTGAGAAAACACTAAGATCTTAATAGTATTTCCTTTTGAGATCACTCCAATCTGAATTGTTGCTCCTAAAACCCTTTAGGAGAAAAGGATGAGATGAAGAGAGATTGAGGTTTTGAGACTTAGGTAAGACAAATGGATACTGAATTGAGATTACAATAGGATAAATGAAAGTAACAAATGAGATCTCATCATTGTATCTTTGAGTTCATTAATGTCTTGCTTATTGCTCCTAAAAAGCGTTGGGAGCTCTGGGAAGATGTTTGTGTGCTTGATTGTATTACATTACTGTCTATGATTGGAGAACCATGCTGGATTTGAACCCTGCTCCTGTTGAAATAAAATAATAATGAAGGACTTATTGTCTTTAAACAGAGTACAATTTTCCTTTACTTAAAAGAGGAGAAATACCATATCCATATTTAAAGTCCTCAAAATTCTACTCAAGTAAAAGGTATACAAGTATTTTATAGTGAATGTACTTTAGTATCAAAAGTAAAAGTGTTTGACAGATACATGTTGTATCTCAGTTCTTGCGTGCATTCGGTCCTTAATAAATTCATCTCTTACAAATATGTAATATGTAATATCAAAGTATTGGGTGTTCCAGTTATGTTGGCTGTGACTACTTTAACAAATTGGAAAGCATGACATTTGAAAGTGCATTATTTTCAATGTCAAAATTTTTTTCCAAAAAAAATTTGCACTTTCAAATGTCATGCTTTCCAATTTGTTAAAGTAGTCAATGTTCTGTAACATAATAGAATCCTTCTGTAAGGACGCAACTAGCTCAGTAGCACTCCTGCAGGGTACGTCCCCCCGTTTTACCATCAATACAGGGGTCAAGCATCAGAAATGTTAGCAATCAATATAAAAAAGATCTGATGTTGCCAAACTAAATATGATTATGATTTGATGAGCAAATAGTTACAACTTGCTGATGACACAAAAATTTAGAACTCCCCCAATTTTTTTACTTAATTGATGAGTTCTCTAAAGCTTCAGGTTTAACACTTAATCACAACAAATGTGACCATTCACGAATGCAACCTCATAAGTGCTCACAATATTTTCATCAAAACTTCTGTGAAATATCTTGGAATTCATATAACCAAGGACGTTAAATCTAGTGAATCTTTAAATATACAGAACAAAATTCAACAGTGTAAATCTAAGCTGAATATGTGGTTACAAAGGGACCTAACAGTCTTTGGAAGAACGTACTTATCTAAGATGGAATCCCTAGCCAGATGCATTTATCCCGCATATTCAATGGCCATACCTGATAAATTTGTTAAGACTATTAATCAACTGAACTTTAATTTAATTTGGAAGAATCAGGTACATTACATTAAAAAATCGGAAACCGTCAAAGATAATGAAGAAGGTGGTTTAAAGGACGAGGGATGCTGGTTAACTTATGATAAAATAATCAAAGCGATTCCTCTGTCAATAAAAGGGTTAATCCAAAAGATGGAAATACAAACGGCTACATTATATCTACCCACACTCCAACTCAATGGGCGTGACTTCCTGGATGAGGGGTTTTCAAACAAATTAATTCGTATTCACCTTAATAATATACTTTTCCCACTACGATCAAACAGAAACCCCATACTCCAGCTGTTCTCTGAATCACACATTAAGAAATTTAGTACCAACTATATCAAGTACCCTGTAAGCCCCAAGACAAAAAAAGTCAATTTTAACATTATGTGCAATATATATATATATCCATCCAACGAGCTGCCAAAAACGATATTCGGCGTGGATCATAACTGTACCTTTTGTGAAACTGAAATTGAAGCAACTGATCACCTGTTTTTCCATTGTATGTACTGTGAAGCGTGGACCTCAGAAAGAGCCCAGCCCCACCCTCCCCCATCATCCTGTGTGAGTCCCCAGTCACCACTGTGGACTCCTTCCGCTTCCTGGGGTTAGGTGTTCAAGCTATATGACAGTAGTCACGTAGACAGAAAGAAGGTGGTGGCTGATTTGACAAAGAAACTCGGAGTAGGATAAAGAGGAGTCAGAGAGAGATCGGGGTTATTCCTCGGCAGACCTCAGAGGCATCGGACTCAGAGCAAGACCATCACCGCACCGGACCAAGACAAGAGACGGGGATTTGAGCAGCAAACAACTAGAGAATACTTCAGAGATTCTTCAGGGGACTTCAAGAGATCGAGCCACGGAGGGTAACCACAACGACCAAACCAAATGAAGAATCATCGGACTCTGAAGATTTTCTCTCACTAAAGCTGCAACGAAGACTGAACACTTTTGAAGACAATTTGAGGGCTTTGGACAAAGCCTCAGGTTTCCACCAGAGTCATCAGCCCAGCAGCGGAGGAAGGATTTCACCGGCCGGGACAACTCCTTCCCCTTCCTTTCTCTCCATAAAGAACACATCAAAAATACTCAAGCTCAGCTATCACAATCAGGTTTTGAATTTTAGAAATTTTATCAGTTCACTCAAGTTTTAATTTTTTTGCAATAAAATATATAATCACTGCATTTAAAGCACAAGTAGTAGACATTGAATTTATTTCTTCACTAAGGTAGTAATTCATTAGGTAAAGTCTGTTTAACCTCTCTAAAGGTTCTTATAGGTTGCTCTAGCCAACAAAATTAACTTATCCTTGGGGCCTATTTTCCTGGCCACTAAACACAATCCTAGAAACTATACCAAGTGCACTGATCAATGAGAAAAGAGCTGTCGTTAACGTGCGTGGCAGGGTAGGCATTCGGAAGAAGACAGTTAGAAGCTAGGCGAATCTCTTCGACAGCAGCTTAAACAGTCCTCAGTTATACCTAATAGGGTAATACCCACAGGCCTAGAGGATCGGGCCCTTTAAGACGGAGAGCTGGTCCAGTACCTCCTGAATAGGGGTAACTCGGGATCTAACAATACTAACGTTGAAATGTCTTTCTCATAACTGCAAACACACAGCTACATCACCACATTTGTAAAAGTAACATACAACCAAACATCAACTGCAGACACAAGATAATCACGAACAGATTAGATACAAGGCAAAGATAACGTAAAGTTAGGTGTAAACAACCAATCGCACTGCGTTTTTCCACTTACCTACAGCTAGATATAATCCATTGTCTCCACTCTGGCTCTTATACCAGTCTGCCCTCGTAGCAACAGTTAGCTGTATGCAACGTAGGTAGCTACTGTTAGCTGTATGTAGTTAGTTACGTTTGCTAGCGATGAAAGTAACAAACTACCATCAACATGATAAAAGCCAGATTACCTGTCCAGCAGAAATAAAGCCATCAGATATCACCCACCGGTCTGACCGCTTCGCTCCTCCGGTCTGAGAGCTGACCGGGTGCGCGCACGGGGGCAGCTCCTGTCGCAGCACGGCTGGTAGCCATGGCAGCGAGGGAGAGTGAGAGTCAGCCAGCCAATCATTGCATTCGAGTGGCCGACAGACAGCAGATTTTTATACTCTCTTTTTCAGTGCAACTAACTTTTTAATATGCATTGGTTTATATAGAGAGTTTCAACAAATATGACAAAAAGTTTTTTAGAAGCAACTTACCTTCCTTGCCTTTAAGTGTCAAGTGATGTCTGTAGAAGTTTTTATAGATATTGACCCCATTGACCTTTTTCATTTTCCAACTGTCTTTTATGTCGTAACATTGAAATCTCAGAGCTCAGCGCCTGGTTTTATAAAAAATTGTTACAGTGTGGGGCTTTTATTTAGAAAAACTAGGTCAAGCAGTGGTTTCCTGTAATGTACAGTTAGTCTCTGGGGTTTATTTTACTGTGAGTTTGTGTGCCTGTGTATGTGTACATGGCGGGTGGGAAATGCATTTATGCATACATGCGTTTCTTCTATACAGCATAGTTCAGAGGTGCATGATTTGAGGTGTGTCTGTCAATGTATTAAAGTGTTTGCTTTGGGAAGGAACAGGTTCACATCGCACACGATCAAATACACACAAGGTACTCTTCGCTGTCTGCAGTTTGGTTAGGTTTACACACCAAAACTAGTTGGTTAGATTTAGGAAAATATCACGGTTTGGGCTGAAAATAATCGCTTACATTACATAAGTCACGTTTGTAGTGTATGTAACTTTAACTTTTGGTTTCGTCAGATGGGTTACATTGGAGTTAGGTGACACTGAAGCACTGTTTCCTCTAGGATTTTTTTCACTAGCAGGAGCAGCTTCTCCTCTTATTTTTAGGGAATAATGTTGTTTCATCTGCACAAGAAGTTAGAAAACACGGTTATATTAAGGGTTCGCACTTTGCTTTGCTTTGCTTGTTGATTAGTCTATCTCTAAATCAGCAATTTCTGTTCTAATCTACATGAAGGTATCGATAACATTACGCTTGCTGACTAGCCTACTATTGCCTATAGCTTATCTGTTGTTATCTTGAGATGGACATGTAGACAACCAAACTTCTTGCTTTGTTATGCGCTGCATATAATCTGCCATTTCAAATAACACAGGCAGCCTATACAATCTGACTATTACTAAGGTATCTATGAACATAATCTTTACAATGCAAAGAAATAATGTTGCAATAACATGGGAGCCGGCTGTTGTTCAAGGTAGTAGGGTAAGCCTACATATAGAGGGAGACCTGTGTGTCCAGCGTAAAGCCTTACAGACTATATACAGGCTTATTTTCTCTCTATGCAGCTTAAAAAGGATTCTTTCTTGAAATCAAATGCTGGTAGCCTGATCGAAAGCCAAGATTAGTTTTACCAGCTAAATTCAATAGTGTATTCGCCATCAAACATCGCTGCAAAACAAATAGCAACCAAGCACATAAGAGGAAATAAATAATTTATTTCAAAAGAAAACCATGCTCTTTGTTAAATTAGGCAGAATCAATCAGTCAATCCAGTGAACATCTGACTTAAATTTTTACACAGTGCATAGCCTACATTTGTTCTGCAGACTTAAAAGGCTTTAAAACACCATTAATGGAAAGCGAAATTGTTTCTGCAGCTTGTGAAGGCTTAGAAAGGCTGTTTTCCAACACAGCCAGAGACATAGTGTAACGGTTTAGCGCGCGACTA